AATCCAGTTCCTTGTAACTGTAGGACATAGATAACTGTTTTCTTGCTGGTCATCAGCTAAGGGCTGTTACCAGCTCCTAGAGGCTGCTCATTATTTCCTGCCACATGGCCTTCTCCACAACCTGGTAGTTTGCTTCTTCAAGGACAGCAAGGAGAGGGGTTATACAGGGTGTGTGCACTAAGAGGGGGGCCAATTTAAGATTCTGCCTATCACATGGTTTGTTTTTAAGAATCTTTGCCTACCCCCCTAGGGGCGCCTGGGTGGCTCAGTCGTTAAGTGTCTGCCTTCGGCTCAGGTCATGATCCCAGAGTCCTGGGATCGAGTCCCACATTCGGGCTCCCTGCTCAGCAGGGCAGCCTGCTTCTCCCTCTCCCACTCCCCCTGCTTGTGTTCCCTCTCTCACTGTGTCTCTCTTTGTCAAATAAATAAATAAAATCTTTAAAAAAAAAAAAAAAAGAATCTTTGCCTACCCCAAAGTTGGGAAGATTTTTCTGATTTCCTCTAGAAGTTAATAGTTTTAGGTTTTCCATTTCTGGTCTATTGTATGTATGTATTTACATGTATGTATGTTTTGAGATGTAATTCACATAACATAAGATTAACCCTTAAAGCAAGAAATAAATTTTAATTTGTATTACAAAAATAATTCCTGGCTTAGAATCAGTATACATCACTGTCTCTTATATCATATGGTCACCTCCCAGATGCAAGATGGGCTAGGAAATGTGGTCCCTACCTGCATCATCATTTCCCAGGACAAAAACTCCACATTGTAGAAAGGGAGCAGATACTATGGTCGACAGTTCTCTGGGCCAAGCCCAGACTGACCCAGGGAATTTTGTCCAGTTTTTCCAACACCATTTGTTGCAGAGACTGTCTTTTTTCCATCGGATGTTCTTCCCTGCTTTGTCAAAGATGAGTTGACCATATAGTTTTAGGTCCATTTCTGGGCTTTCTGTTCTGTACCATTGATCTGCGTGTCTCTTTTTGTCTCATGTGTCTCTTTTTGTCTCAATGATTACAGCTTTGCAGTATAGCTTGAAATCCGGAATCGTGATGCCTCTAGTTTGTTTTTCTTTTTCAGGATTGCTTTGGCTATTTGGGGTCTTTTGTGGTTCCATACAAATTTTAGGATTGTTTTTCTAGCTCTGTGAAAAATGCTGCTGGTATTTTGGGGCGCCTGGGTCGCTCAGTCGTTAAGCTTCTCCCTCGGCTCAGGTCATGATCCCGGGGTCCTGGGATCGAGCCCCACGTCCCTGCTCCGCGGGACGCCTGCTTCTCCTTCTCCCACTCCCCCTGCTTGTGTTCCCTCTCTCGCTGTGTCTCTCTGTCAAATAAATGAATAAATAAAATCTTTAAAAAAAAAAAAGGCTGGTGGTATTTTGATAGGGATTGCATTAAATGTGTAGATTGCTTTGGGTAGTATAGACATTTTAACGATGTTTGTTTTTCCGATCCATGATCATGGAATGTTTTTCCATTTCTTTGTGTCCTTTTCAATTTCTTTCATAAGCGTTCTGTAGTTTTCAGAGTATAGATCTTTTACCTCTTTAGTTAGGTTTATTGCTAGGTATCCTAACTGTTTTTGGAACAATTGCAAAAGGGATTGATTCCTTGATTTCTTTTTCTGCTGCTTCGTTTATTGGTGTATAGAAATGCAATAGAGGGCACCTGGGTGGCTCAGTCGGTTAAGCGACTGCCTTCGGCTCAGGTCATGATCCTGGAGTCCCGGGATCGAGTCCCACATCGGGCTCTCTGCTCGGCAGGGAGTCTGCTTCTCCCTCTGACCCTCTTCCCTCTCGTGCTCTCTATCTCTCATTCTCTCTCTCTCAAATAAATAAACAAAATCTTTAAAAAAAAAAAAAAAAAGAAATGCAATAGATTTTTGCGTGTTGATTTTATATCCTGTGACTGAATTCATGAATTAGTTCTAGCAGTTTTTTGGTGGAGTCTATTTTATTGATTTTCTTTAAAGCAGCTTTTTGAGTCATTGGATTTTCTCTTTTGTTTCATTTTTATTGATTTCTGCTCTTAAATTCTTTATTTCCTTCTGCTTGCTTTGGGTTTGTTTTGCTCTTCTTTTTCTAGCTCCTTGAGATAGAAAATTGGACTACTGACTTGATCTTTCTAATTTTCTAATGTAAACTTAGTGCTGTCGGTTTTGCTGTTAGCACTGCTGTAGCTGCGTCCCTTCTATTTTGATGTATTGTACTTTCATTTTCATTCAGTTCTGTGTATCTTAAAATTTTCTGAGACTTCCTCTTTGACTCACAAATTACTTAGAAGTGGTTCTTTGGCTTCCAAATGTTTGGATATTTTCCTGTTTTCTTTTGGTTATTGATTTGTTGTTTGATTCCATTATGGTCAGAGAACATGCTCTGATTTCAATCCTTTAAATCTGTTGGTTTTTGTGTTTTTTTTTTAAGATTTTATTTATTTATTAGAGAGAGAGTGCATGCGCACAAGCCGGGGAGAGGAGAAGCAGGCTTCCTGCTAAGCAGGGAAGCCTGACACAGGGCTCGATCCCAGGACCCTGGGATCGTGATCTGAGCCAAAAGCAGACGACCCAGGTGCCCTGATGATACTGACGTTTTACCAGTTCAAGTAAGCATAGAAACTTTATTTTCTATTTTATTTAGGTCCCTTTACCCTCCCCAGTTTTTAAATAACAATTGTATTTCCTCTACGTGGGGCTACTCCATTTTGGTAGAGCTGAGAAGTCCATATTGTGTCTGTCTCAGTTGGAGGGGGGTTCTCAAATAGGGCAAGGATCAGGTAGAAGCCGGGTACGGCAGTGAAAGGGCTCACTGGAGGCAGAACAGAGGCGAGAGTTTATCAAACGTATTGCAAGGGAGCACCCGGCAGGGGCGCAGAGGAGAGGCTGTCTGCTATGGGGCAGTGGGTGTGCACCGTTCTTAAAGAGGGAAGGTGAGGAGGTATGGCGGCCTACGGAATTTTCCCATTTGTGGTAACTGTGGTTGTTAGTAGCCCATTGGTCCGTGGGTATTTTCAGGTGGGTCGCGTGATGTACCTGTCTGTGTTCAGTCGGGGGGTCGCTGTAGGCCCTTGTCTCCACTCCATTGCTCCAGCCTGTGAGCTAAAAGCAGCCTCTGCACAGATGATTGTCTTTCCTCCGTAGCCCTCCTGAGTTGCTAGTTCTGGTAGTTCTTCGTTAGTCTGGCGGTGGTTGTGAACTGCCGTGTGGAGTTACATCTTCCACAAAAAGGGAGCTGCCTTTTCATCCCTGTCTTTCTTGTATCCGTACCTTATACTTATTTTTATCTTATTGCCAACCAAAAAAGTTGAGTCTATTTTTTCTGTTTTTCAACATCAGTAATGAATACGTATCTTCGTATTTTGCCTAATGAGAGCTTTACTTTTAACTTTTCTCCTTCCCCTTTTCTAAGTTTTTGTAATACAGTCTGGATGTTTTAATTCTCCATTTTTATCTGACCACCCATAATTTCCATTTTGTTATATGATCTGTCTTCAGTACCTCTCTGACTTTTCCGGACCTCCCCCTCACTCCGTGCAGCCATAATGACCTTTTTGCTTTTTCTTTGAGCTCACTGGGCATGCTTCTTTCTCAGGCCTTTGTATTTGTCATTCCCTCTGCCCAAAACGCATCCCCCTCTCCCTGTAGATACTCACTTGGCTTGTGCTCTCACTTTCTAGAAGGTCTTTTCTCAAAAGTCACATTCTGAGATTTTCCCTCATCCCCCTAAAGGTATAATCCATTGCCCATTAGGTCCCCGTTTTTTCCCTACTTGATTTTCTTTTCACAGAACTATGACTAGCTAATATTAGTATTTTATGTATTAACTGCTTGTCGTTTCTCTTGATTAGAATATGAGTTCTCTGGAGGCAGGAATCTTCTCTGTTTTGTTCACTGTTTTGTTTTTTTAAAGATACTATTTATTTATTTGAAAGAGAGAAAACACGAGAGTGGGAGGGCAGGGAGGGGGACAGGCGGACTCTGCCTTGAGCTTGGAGCCTGCGTCGGGGCTTGATCCCAGGGTCCTGAGATCATGACCTGAGCCAAAACCAAGAGTCGGACACTCAAGTGACTGAGCCACCCAGGTGCCCCTCTGTTTCGTTCACTGTTGTATTCACAGTGCCCAGAATAACCTGGCACATAAAGATACTCAATAATAGGTACTCAGTAAGTGTTTATATAAGTAACTAATCTTTATGTATTTAGCATTTTCCTGCGAGTTTGGATTGACAGGCCAAAGGATGAGTGTTTTTAAAAGTTCTTGGCACTTTTTGCCATGTAACTTTCTTTTTTGTTTGCTTTATTTCTTATTTATTTGTACCAGGTAATACTTTTTATGTGGTTTAAAATTCAAACAGTATGGGCACCTGGGTGGCTCAGTCCCCATGTCAGGCTCAGGGGGGCGTCTGCTTGAAGATTCTCTCCCTCTGCCCCTCACCCCGCTTGCACATGCACACACACATGCACACTCTCTTGCTCTCTCTCTAAAATAAATAAATCTTTTAAAAAAATTTTATGGAGAACTGTTCAAGATGGAGCTTGAAAGAAAATAGGATTTTTAATAGGCACAAAAGGATAAGATGGTGGAAGGCTCTAGTAACAGGTTGGCGAACCACATCCCTCAGGCTGACCACCCATTCACTTATGTATTGTCTTTGACTGCTCTTATGCTATAGTGGCAGAGTTGAGCAGTTGAGACAGATCATATAGTCTGTAAAACCTGAAATATTTACTCTCTGGTCCTTCAGAGAAGGATCTGCAAGCAAATGATAGGATGTAGTTGGGAAAGAATTATTGATAACAGTTAAAGAAATGAGAATGAGATGTTGACTATAGTTGAGGCTGGGGGTCAGTAATAGAAGGGTGGCCGGTTAAAGAGAAGGAATACAAGAGGGAAACCATTGTTAATAGGAAGTGAGGACGCATTCCAGGCTGGTATAGTAGTTCAGTAAGGCCTGAATGTGGCTTGTCCATAATCATGCTTTTCTCATCTTTCCCTTACTAGCTAAGAAGGATCAGGAAGGTGGAGAAGAAAAGAAATCTGTGCAAAAGAAAAAAGTAAAGGAGTTAAAGGTGTTGGATTCAAAGACGGCCCAGAATCTCTGTGAGTAACTCTGTGATCCCAACTATTTGTCTTTTAAAAGCTTAATTTTGGTAGATCCAGGGTCTCCTGATTTGTTGAGTTCCTAATGTATGCCAGGCATTGGATAGTGAACTTCCAGTATCTTGTTTAATTCCTTAGTAGCACTGCAAGATTATTTCCTTACCATAAAACTAGACACTAACAGTGGTTAAGAGTTTTAGGAATTTGCCCAGTCCCATAGGTGGTGAGAGACAGGTATGGGATTGGAACCTCGGATTTTTTTTTTTTATTTCAAAACGCTTACTGTTTCCATTGCATCCACAGAATATTCTAGCCACTGCATTTCCTTCTTTCTAACTTTTTCTTAAGTACTTCTTTTAAATGCAGGCATTTGCTTCACTTAAATCTAAAACACTTTTGTGGCTTAGAATAAATAATATAAATCCTGCACTTCTCAAACTAGGATCAAAACTCCTCCACAAAGTTGGTATAGGTGGTACTTATTTGATGATCAGGATGAATGTTCATTTTTTGTTTGTTTGTTTGGCTGTTGATCTCCTTTATGCTGAGTAATAGAGATTTAAATATTTGCTCAACAAATATCTGAGGATCTGCCATGTTGCAGTCTCTGTTGGGCCCGTATGAGACATGTGTTCCAGAGATGAAAGGGTACATATTCCATAAAACCCACTCACAGTCTTGTAATGTGTCCCCACTTCTCCAAATGAGAAGATTAAAGTGTAGATGTTGTGACTCCGCCGAGGTCACACAAGGAAACAATGACACATACCCATAAGTAAAATCAGGGATATCATGAGAACAGTAAGCCCTTACATTATTCTTTGCTGTATAGTCCTAGATCATTGACAGCAAATACTACTAAATGTTGTCTGTGGGTAAGTCTTTTTATGGAGACCAAAAGTGATGGGAGATGGTTCCTTTTCTCAAGTTTATCTCTGGGAACAGAAAACATGAATAACTCCCATTTTAGAAAGTGATAGAAGACTGTGGGTATTACATGATTCCTTCCAGTTGGATGATAACAATACAGAGAATAGAACTCACAAAGAGAATGAGATTTGTTTAGGGGAGGATGGCCTAGGAGATGTAATTTAGTGATTCAGAAATTATTAAGTGCCTCTTATGTGCTAGGGACACTTAAGCTGAATAAAGCACAGTTCCTGTCCTTATGAAGCATGTGTCTGGTGCAAACAGAAAAGTAAATAATGGGAACCACACAGATGAAGTGCTGTGATAGAGATGAGCTTGGATGCAGATGAGACCCCCGGGAAAGGGGCATCTAAATCAAGTGCGGGCAGTACTGGAGGGAGCATGTCACTCAAAAGGAGGTACTGCTTACATGGATTTGAAAGAACGATGAGTCAGGAGTGAAGTGAAGGCTGAGGGCTGGCTTGTTGCAGGCAGCGGCATCAGCACGTATGAAGGCGCAGACGCAAGGAGTGTGACACAGTGTGGTTGGCAAACTGTAAAGGCCGTATGTGGGAGAGGAGTGGCAGGAGAAGCTTTCAAGAAATAGAAGCTAGATTATCAAGAATTCTGCCAGGCTTAGGCTAAGAAATATCTGTGATATCCTGAAGGTCTTGGAATTTATTAAAAGGATTTTAATCAGGAAAATGAGTGATAGTTCCTGTGTAATTCGGGGGAAGGCTACTTGGGCAGTGACGGAGGCTGGATTGCTAGCGTCCGGGAAGACTCCAGGCAGAGAGATGAGTTACGTTCTCACTTTAATCTAGGTGAGGGATGGTCAGGGCCTGAAACTAAAGTAGTGAGAATGAGTAGGAAGGCAGGCAGAAGATACTAAGGAGATAGAAATAATGGAACTTGGTGACTGAGGGAATGGAGGAGATGTTTTCTTTGGTTCACATCACTCTGTAGAGAGTGGTACCATTTACTGAAGTAGGAAAATCCAGCCAGGAGCAAAATGTCTTTCTGGGGAGGAGTGGTGGGTACCGGACACGAGTGAGGGGTGGCAGGGCGGTGGGTAGGGGCGACGGCTGTGGGGTAGAATTAAGGCACCTGTGGGACTCCTCCAGAAGGGTGGGCGTGTTAGGCCTTTGGGCACAGGAACCAGGAAGGAGGTTTGGCTGGAGGTAGGAATTTAGGAGACAGAATACGAGTCATAGCTGAAGCCATGAGTTTGCTTTGAAGGCCACTAATATTTAAGGGGCAAGGAGAAGGGGGAGAGGGGCGGGGAACTCAAAGGCTGGAAAGCAACAAGAAAAATGGTATGACATAGTCCTAAGCGGGGGTAGTCAGCAGTGTCAGATGAAGATGGGAATCCGGTAAAATAAGGACAGGACAGGTGTCCTTCGGATCTGGCGTGAGGAAAGTCAGTGGCCTTAAGCAAGAAGAATTTCAGCATAGCGTAGAGGTTAGGAACAGAGCCTCTGGAATCCTGTAGTATTTAATTCCTGCTTCCAGCCCTCACTGGCAGTATGACCTTGGGTTTTTGACTAGCTTAATTTGAAGTATTAGTTTCCTTCTCTGTCAAATGGGGTTAATAATACAGACATACAAGGATATTATGAATAGGATTAAATGAGATTAGGTATGTAGATTATGTTTAAGTATTGTGTATGATGCTCAGTAAATGTCTTTTCATTGACTCTGGGGACAGGAGAATAGATGAGGGCTGTGGAAGTGAAAGAGAGGAGACTATTGTATTTTTTGAGGGAAAGAAGTTGGTAATTAGGAATATCAGGTCAAGGTTTTTGGTCTTTTGTTTTTAAGACAGTAGAAACTTGGTTATGTGTATATGCTGCAGGAAAAGGTCCTCGGGGCCACCTGTTCTACTGAAATCTAAGAACAGGATGAGTACATGGGTATAGTTGCTGATAAGCTTACACAAGTGTTGGCACACGTTTTCTTCCGGATAATTCCAAATAGTCCTTACCCAAGCCTTTTCTGGCTTGGCTCCAGCTGAGAGCCCCCAGTGCATAAGAGAATGCTGGGGTTTTTTTCCAGTGAAGAGGAAAAAGATTTTTTTTTTTTTTTTTTTAAATCGGCAGTGGTGGGACAGCTGGGGGAATGGGGATACTTTGGAGGAGCTTCTGAGAGCCTAGCGTAGAGTGGGGACACACAAGGGACCGCTCGGTGGCACTGAGTTTATCACTGTTGTTGGTGCCACTCCAGATGAACTGTGACCTGCAGAGTCTTTGCCAGCAGTGTTCATCACCCCAGCTGCAGGGAGAGAGATGACACGGCTGGATCGACCAGGAATTGGAAGGAGAAGGAAACAATAATAGGAGCAGGAGTAACAGAGCTGGCAGTAATAGTAGAGATCAGGCGAAGCTGTAGACTGTAGGTCTAGGTGAAGGAGAGAAGGCAAAGTAGAACTTGTACATCCGAAGAAAACGGAGTGCTCAGCGCTCACTGATGGGGTTGAAGGGCCATTGCAGACGCTAGAGAACTGGAAGACAGGAAGTGTTTGTTGGTGAACAGGATATGGCAATTTAAGAATCAGAGCATTTGAAGGCAGTGGCAGCTTTGAGGATGGAGTCATGGGAGTGGGAAACTAAAAATAGAGTGGGGTGAGTATCTTGGATGTATATATAGAGAGAAGATCAAAATCTTCCTGTGTGAGCAAAGGCCAGGAGCCACAGTGTTTGTAGAATGTGGTGCTTAGAACAGGGTAGCTAGCATGTGACATAAATGTGGGGGGTTCATGAGAGAGAAAGCTGGGAGGTGGGAACCTTAGACGTCAGACTCAGGAACTTGGACTTTAACTACCCAGGTAGTGGAGAGCTGGTGGAGGTTTCTGATAGTGACTTTAAAAGAAAACTCTTAGGCAAATAGTCCAGCAGAGGTTTATAGATAGGCTGGAAGGGAGAGGAGACTGAGAAGAATGTGTCTTGATATCTCATTTTCTGGCAGCCATCTTTCTGGGTTCCTTCCGCATGGCCTATCAAGAGATTAAGAATGTCATCCTGGAGGTGAATGAGAGTGTTCTGACTGAGTCTATGATCCAGGTAAGGAGCAGGATTGTCTGTGGGAGCTGGCTGTTTGTGCCACGGTACACTGGCCTCATATCTTTGGAGGGTGAGGTCCTCTAGATTGGTGCTTTACAGAATGCTGGCTTTGGGTCAGCATCCATCTCTCCCGGGGTTAGATTATTTCTGGTATATTTTTCAAAAGTCCTGCCATCTCACTAGCTGCCCTAACCCCCAGCCCCTGTTTCCTTCTTTGTGGTCCTTGGGCAAAGTAGGGGACTGACAGGAGGCTCAAGCTATCAGCTCATGAGACCGTCCCTTCTCTCTTTTCAGAACCTCATTAAGCAGATGCCAGAGCCAGAGCAGTTAAAAATGCTCTCTGAACTAAAGGATGAATATGATGATCTGGCCGAGTCGGAGCAGTTTGGTGTGGTGGTGAGTGAGGCCTGTGGCAAGAAGCTCTTCTTGGACCCCCTTGCTGCCCTCCTCCCCTGAAGCAGCTGGGGTGCTTGCTCCTCGCCTCTCGTCTAGTCTGAACCTCTCTTCCTTTCTCTTTCATACTCTGGAACTCACGGCCTCCCATGCGAGGCTCAAGCCTGTATGTTTTTTTCTGACCTGCTCTACCTGTTGGCCGTCCTGGAACTGCTTGTCTTCCCCACCAGATGGGTACTGTGCCTCGCCTGCGGCCTCGCCTCAATGCCATCCTCTTCAAGCTACAGTTCAGTGAGCAAGTGGAGAATATTAAGCCAGAGATCGTTTCTGTGACTGCCGCGTGTGAGGAGTTACGAAAGAGTGAGAGCTTCTCTAGCCTCCTGCAGATTACCTTGCTTGTTGGAAACTATATGAATGCTGGCTCCAGGAATGCTGGTGCTTTCGGCTTCAACATCAGCTTCCTCTGTAAGGTGAGCCAGCTGGTTAGAGCAGAACGACAGAAGGGAAGGCTGCTGGCCTCTGTGGGCACCATGTGGCAAACTGCTGTTGGCCTCAGGGGATCTTGGGCGTGTCAGGACTAACACGTTTCTCCTCTTCCCCCAAGCTTCGAGATACGAAGTCCACAGATCAGAAGATGACATTGTTGCACTTCTTGGCTGAGTTGTGTGAGAATGACTATCCTGATGTCCTGAAGTTTCCAGATGAGCTTGCCCATGTGGAGAAAGCCAGCCGAGGTGGGGCAGGTTGAGGTGAAACTGGAAGGCTGTTCCAGGCCCCCAAAATCTCTGCATCGGGACAGAAATAAGACACGGTCTAGGTCTTAGTTTTCAGTTCTGCCTATTTTAGGTGGGAACGGGGAAGGGTGTAGGCATGACGTCTAGGCCATGGGGGAGAGGATTATCAGGCAGAAGGGAGGACTTCATGTACAGAAGTGAGAAGCATTCTTTCCTTCCTGGGGAGACACCAGACACTAAAAAACAACTGGAAGAAAGGCAGGTGTTTTTAATCTAGCTTAGCGGTTCTTTTTATTCAGAAAGCATGGACTAGATTGACAAAAATCAGGCCTCACCATCCTGGAATGAGGCACAGAAAAAGCTGCATTCAGTAGAAACGGGAACAGATTTCTGCCCTTCCTCTGTATTTCTATGTATAGCTCCTTCCTCCCAAACTCTGTTCTCTAAAATAAATGAGACCAAGATCCCAGGGGATTTCACAGGTTCTTGTTAAATGAAGCCTCTCTTCTTCTTGTGGAGGCTGGAGGTTCAGGCATCACGTAACTTACAGTCTAAGTGGAATGATGAAAAGTGCAATGTGTGGAACATCTGGAGGAGAGGACGTGAGAGTACACTGATGCCGGGCCCCAACGAGCGGAAGCTGAGGGTCTGGGGACTGGGAATAAACTCTTGCTTTCTCTTTTTGTGTCTCCTTTAGTTTCTGCTGAAAACTTGCAGAAGAACCTAGATCAGATGAAGAAACAGATTACTGATGTGGAACGTGATGTTCAGAATTTCCCAGCTGCCACAGATGAGAGAGACAGGTTTGTTGAAAAAATGACTATATCCTTTCTTACGAGGAGGGAGTTCCTAGGATGCTTTCTAGGAAGGGAAGGAAAATGTCCCGGGGCGGGGGGGGGGACAGCAGGAGAGATCTGGTGATAGATAATTTTTCCTTCTTTAAAAAAATTCTTAAAAAAAGTTCTTCTCATTAAATACATAGTTCTTGAAAGCATTCTCATTGTTGTGGTAAGCACACCACTAAAATTCCTCCCTGATCCCTTGCCCTCTGCCCCATCCCCACTGCACACAAGTGCACACACAACACACACACACACATACGTATTCTCGTCTCTCTCCACTTCCCAAAGGTAACCACTGCCACTGGACTTCTTATTTTCACCTCATGAGTTTATTTTAAACAAAAACTGTTGTGTTGCTTTTTGCACATCCTGGTTCTTAGCCCTGGCTCCACAGCAGGATATGCAGAACCACCCCTTTAACTGCCACCCCCTATTCTGTAGGTGAACCATGGTTTATGGTTTACCAGTCCCCTGTTTGGGATATTTCGATTGCTTCTCGCCTTTGCTCTTAGAGTGTCGTGTTAAACATCGTCGTGCCTGCCGGCATGCGTCTCTGCATGTTCCTCAGGGCTAGTGCGGTGGGTCTGCTTCTTGGCCTTGGTCCTTGACTCCCGGGCCGCACAGCTTCGTGAGGGACGCACAGGAGCAGTATAACAAGCTGCGGATGATGCACTCTAACATGGAGACCCTCTATAAGGAGCTGGGAGAGTACTTCCTCTTTGACCCCAAGAAGGTGACGGTGGAAGAATTCTTTATGGATCTGCACAACTTTAAGAATATGTTTGTGGTGAGCCAGGGGTACCTGCCGACTGAATCTTTTGTGGACATTTCTCACTTTCCACATTGCTTGGTGTGGGGTGGGCTTATGTGTAAGTGCACGCATGCCCACGTGTTTTGTTTTGTTTTGTTTTCCTCCACAGCAAGCAGTCAAGGAGAACCAGAAGCGGCGGGAGACAGAGGAAAAGATGCGGCGAGCAAAACTCGCCAAGGAGAAGGCGGAGAAGGAGCGGCTCGAGAAGCAGCAGAAGAGGGAGCAGCTCATAGACATGAACGCAGGTAAGAAGCAGAGAAGGGCTGATGGGTTGAAACAGGAATATTTGCAGGGCTTCTCTGCCTAGAATCTCAAGGCCAGAGAAAACAGCTCATGTCTGAGCTCAGCTCCTGGCAAAACATTGTTGGCAGCCTTTTACCTCCAAGAGCCTGGTGCTGGACTTGAACCTCAGCTCCCCTGCACACGCTTCCAGCGCTCCATGCTCGCGCGCCGCCCCCCGCCCTTGCTAGTTCCTGCGTTATGTCTCATCTCCCAGTGGGTTTAGTATTGCTGTAACATGGACTCTTCTGCCTGGCCAAATGGTCTTCTGGCCTGTTTTTGTTCTGTCTACTACATTTTTCATTCTTTTCCCCAAAATGTTTTCCTGGCCTTGCTCCTGTCTTACACTGGTGGCTTGTCCTCCTTGTCTGCTTATGTTCGCTAAGTACTGTGTGCTCAGTACCTCTGCACAGTTGTACACACTGTGTACACACATAACTGCGCATACCTACAAGGTTATAAAGGGACTGAACTTCTGGAGCAGGGGGAATGGGAGCTGGCCACTCTCTCTTCTCTTTAGCAGAGTCTGTTTCACTACCAGAAGTATGTCTTTGTTGAAACATATGGGCTCAATTACTGGCCTTCTGTTTCTTGTCTTTGCTGCCTTCCTGCGCCCCCCCCCCCCCCCCCCCGTCTGCTCCTTCTGTGGGTAGCAGGAATATAGCATACACTGTGCATGGCACTGAACTGATGCCACCCTTCTTGACCTTGAGGCAGTACGAGCAATCTAAGTAAAGGGCGGGGGGGCATGGGGTAACTGGGTATTGGGCATTAAGGCGGGCACATGATGTGATGAGCACTGGGTGTTATAAGCAACTGATGAATTATTGAACACTACATCTGAAACTAATGATGTACTATATGTGGGCTAATTGAATTTAAATTAAAAAAAAAAATAAAGGGGTTCTTAGGGCTGCCAAGTCTGGCAAGAATCAAAGTGCTTTGCTGAGCACAAGAGGCCAGAGCTGCTCTAGCCACCTCTTGCTCCCAAGGACTTTTCTTTGGCAGCTCCTATTGTGGTAAGGCTAGTGACCTGAAGGAGCTGAACACAGTTTTTTCTTTTTTGATACTTTTCTGGGAAGCAGTTCCACAGTTGTTTACTACAGTTATATACAAGCCACAAATTTTGTTCTACTGCTAATGCTGTTGAAGCCCACACCCAGTATCCTTTACCTTCCCCCATTCTCCCCTGGTGACCAGGGTTTGTCCCCAGGTACTGTCTAGGATGCATCAGGGGAAGGTGGAGTCCAGCGGACATGCGGGATGAGGGCTGCACCCTGTTTATCTGGTGGGGCAGCAAGCCCTGGTCCTGGTCCCAAAGGCAAGCAAATGAGGTCGAAATGTAGGTCAGCTGCACTGGTGATGTTCAGCCAGCAGGTGGCACTGGGAGCAGTGAGCCCAGCCCTGAAGCTAGCAGCCTACAGGCTCCTTGGGATTTCAGTTTCAGATTTCACCACCCAGAGCTGTTGCCATGGAAACAGAGCCAGGCTGGAACAGGGACCCTACATTAACTCTTTATATTCCAGCCAGGATGCTCCCCCTACATGCTGAGCTGGCTTCTGGAAGATGCAGCCACAAGGGGCAGTACTTGAGTAAAATTCAATCTTGATTGGGGCAGGTCTCTCCTTTTTCCTCAGCCCTGCTCTGAAACTGGAACCAGGCTCTCCCTGATGTGTTTATAGGAATTAGAGTGAAACACTTAAGGATAAAGAGCAAGTGATATTGTTGCATATTAATTTCATAATCTCAATCTCTCTGCTTAAACTGGAATTGGAGTTGGGCAGTTCTGCAACTCTCTGTGCTAGTCCCGGGTGGGATGGGAAGGAAGGTACTGCAAGGGAATATCCCAAGGTTTGCATTGGTTAGCAGGCAGTGAAACCTTTTCTTTGAACCACTGTCAAACAGATGCAAGTAAACATGGGCTGTGAGGCTCGAGGTTGAGCCCTGTGTCTCCTCTGAGTCCTGAGCCACTGTGGGCGAGGGGTAAGCCAGGCAACAGTCATACAGTTGGTGTGTGACTCAACACTGTATGCTGCTCAGGCTGAAGAGCTTACATCTCCATCTTTGTTCGTGACAGAGGGCGATGAGACCGGTGTGATGGACAGTCTTCTGGAAGCTCTGCAGACAGGCGCAGCATTCCGACGGAAGAGAGGACCCCGTCAGGGTAAGTAAACAGCTGGAGCCCAGCCTGGGCGTGTGGAAGGGGTGAGGTCTCTCTGCTCCTGGTCCTGCTTGTCTTGAGCTGAAGAACAGGTAAAGATGCTCTGAAGGTTTAGGAACTTCCTCACAATAGTCCCTGTGTCAAGAGTGGGTTGTCCAGTCCTCTGCCTCCCAAGTTAGAAAGCAGGGACTTGGAGAACTAGGTTTTAGATCTGAAAACAGATCTATTACATCTGATGATGACTGCATTTCTCCCCATTCTTGAAGCAGAAACCTGCAACAAGTGAACCATGGTGCAGGACAGAGAGATTTGGGTGGGTGTTTGTGGGTATGAACAAAAACTGAGCTAAATATAAAAGTGTACATTAGATGTAGGAAATAAGAGCCCTACTCAACTTCACAAGCAGAAAAGATATAGAGAGGAGATTAGACATCATTATCCTCAGATGTAATAATATAGAGGAGCAATCCAATGGAAGAACTGTCTCTGTCCAAGAATTACCCTGCTCTTGGGTGCAGTTAGCCTGCACTGCTTTTGTCTTACCCATTGACTCCCCCACAACCTCCTCTCCCAACCCTCTGAAGATTTCAGTGGATTAAGTGGAGTCAGAGCCTCCAAGAAGAATTATGGGATAGGAGGACAAATGATCTAGGCATTAGTGTGGGGAAGGATCAATGGATAAGCTTCCTTAGAAGGAAGCACACAGTGGCCAAGAGACTAGTCCAGGAGAAGGTACTACAGCCAGCACTGTCCCTCATGTGGGATTGACCTGCACTGTTGGGTCTGGTGAGGGCCCTTTTGAACTAGGAGTGAGGGCTTCTTTCCTGGGTCGAAGGGTGGAATAACAGAAAAGGCAGTCATGAAGGGTTTCTACTTTCGAGAGTGAAAGCTGTGTTCCCTATTCCCTGGCTGGGCTGTTCTGTAGGTCTGTTTGATAAGAGCTTTAAGGTTACTGGCAGGAGGAGTTGTGTAGCTTGCTTTGGCCTCTGTAGGGCTTACAGTACCTGTCATAGCCTGGACAGGGGTTCTCCAGATCAGGGGTGTAGAGCGTGCTAGCCCACATATACTTAGTGTCCCAAAGGTTGCTATCTGTTTCTGCCCGTACTCTGAATTCCCAAAGGAAAATTCCCTTCTGAGGGCTCTTCCATATGACTTCAGAACGTTCCCTAAATAGGAGAATCCCTAGTTACAAGTCTTCCCCATCTTCTGGCATCCTCTTGGCAGGCTGTGTAGTGAGAGGAGAGGTGGTTATGATGGGCTTAGAATTTCCTGGCGTAGTGTGTTAAACCATATAGATTGGTGTTTGGGTAGAGAGTGCAGCTAGTAGTACTTCTTTTGTTTAGTTTTTAGAGGTTCTTAGGAGAATGTTTTTTACCCCCCTCCCAATGTGGCCTTACATTAGGCATTTCTAGCCAAATGAAAGTATATTGCATCTCACTGTTCACTCTCTCAGCTAAATGCCAACCTGCATCCGACTCTTGGTGGGGAATTCCCTTTTTAAGCCTCTTCCTATGAAACTACTAGAATCCCAGATGCTTCCTGTACACAGGCAGCCAGACATCAATGGCTTTCCTCTGCGGGGGAGGCCCCATTCTCTACTTCTTCCCAAGTAGGAAACCAGAACTCAGCAGGCAGAGGAAGCAGGGATTTTGTTGGAACATAACCTTTCAGCAGAGGATCTAAATTAGTCAAAGTGCTGTTCCCCAGTGCAAGAAGGAATAGGAGACTGATACTAGAAGATACTGAAGCAGAGAAACACATACTTTTTAAATTGGTTGCATCCTGTAATCTAATCTTTCTGGGCTGTAGGTTCACAGAACAGGGCTGAAAGTATCTGGGAGAATCTCTCCGGGGAGACCTTTCTGGTTACTCTGATATGCCGCTTAGGTGGTGCATTCACATGCTGTGAAGTGATGTGGCCTCACGCTTTCAAACATAAAAACTCCTCTATCACAGTCTGAAGAGCATCGGATTAGGTAGAGATCAAAAGACCCAAAGTCAAGTCTAACTCTGATGCTGTCTAGGGTACCTTAGACAAGTTTTGGGGGCTCAGTTTTTTCATGAGTTAGACCAAAATGGTCTCTTGGGTCTTTTCCAGCTTTAATAACTTTGTTTTGTCCAGCAGCAGTAGAATTAAGACAAGAAAGGGGCTGGACTCAGAAGGCCCTATTCTCAAACTATAAAGGCTGTGGGTTTCCCTCAGTGGCTGCTGGACTTAGCTGGCTCACCCCTTGCCCACCTCTGACGGTTCCTCGTGGCCAATTGCCTTGAGCCAACAAACTGAAGCACAAGCGAGCAGATCTGCCTCACAGGCCGCCTCAGTCCCAGGGAGGCAGCTGTTGCTGCCTCAAAGACACTGGCCTTGTCCATAGGATTTAAAGGCATGTTTAAAAAAAAAAAAAAGTCTTCCGGTCTCTGGAGACCTGGGGGAGCGTAGACCGAGTACAGAGTACACAAAGCAGCATTCAGCTGGAAGAGGAGAGTTACTCTCAGGGGCTGGTCATTAAAAGGGATCTGCAGGGTGCGGGAGGACAATGGTTTGAGTGTCAAGGAGAAGAATCCATGTGATTGTATCACAGCTACTATTTCAAGCTGATGATTGAGTCAGCGTGTGGTTTTAATGACTCAACTTTATCTCCATGTCTGAATTGTGGCCTCTTATATACAGGCCATCTGCTCACTGGGATAAAAGTCAAGGGAAGAGATTGGTCTTTCTCTTCCTTTCCTTCCCTCTGAGCTCCACCTCCACCAACAGAACCATAGAGTCTGGAGAGCCTCTAAAGGCCTCCAGTGATTAGCATCTGACCTCCACATAGAGGAAGGCAATTAAGCCCCGGAGAAGCTCCGGCTGGCCCAGCCCTACAGAGCTGGCTCATGCTAGAGCGAGAACTCTAACCCCCTTTTGTGATTCCAAGTCCAGGGCTGTTGCCACTAAGCCTCCTTGATGGACAGGAGAGGACAGTGACCCCTCTGTGGAGGCCAGAGGTGTTCTTCCATACCTTCGAGCGAAGAGAGCACTGGACATGCTACAGGTGCTTCGGGGAGTTTCTGAGGACTACCTGTCTATAGAAGGGGAAGAGTGTTTCCTCCACCACCACCTCTTCTCCCTCTGCTTTTGTGCAAATAGGACAGGAATTATAATTAGGTGACTTTTAGACAGTAATGAGTTCTTTAGGACAGTAATGACTGCCCCATCTGTCCTAGTTTCCTCTCCCCTAAGGAAGCTTATTAACAAGAACCCTTCCTCTTTAGGAGCAGTTTCTAGCCTCTGTTTTATAAATGTCTTTTTCCAAATCATTGACCTTTTTCTAATTCATCTGTACTGGTGTTATATATGGTTGGTGGATTTTGCTGGTGTTATTTATCCTAGCCCACCCGAATGTCTAGGAATCTGGCTTCAGAGACCTTTAGCAGTGTCTCAAGATGGTTCCCTTTTCCCCACAGGCTATGAGACCATTCTCCTGTGAGTTAATAATCCTCCCTGATCTAATACAAATTATTCATCTGCTTCTATGGCTACTTGTCAATAGTCTCTAGGGAAAGGAGGGGAAGAGTTACTTACTCCGGATTGCTCAAACTAGTGAGTATAATTGTGGCCCTGAAGACAAAGTGGAAACTGCGATTCTTCTGTTCTGTTGATTCTCTTTCCAGTTCCAACAAGAGCTTTCTCATTTCTGGTTCTGATCTTGGGCCACTTCATGGACATCCCCAGTATACCTACTTTCTAGGCTTAAAAGGGAAGTTTTGGTTTTCTCCCCACCTACCATCCACTCTTAGTTTTCATGAAATCGGTAATGTATCAGAATCTTTTGGAATCTAGAAAATGTAGAAACAGTGCTTGATGAGGTACAACTGGTATCCTCTTAAAGGAAGAAACCAAAGAGAAACAACACAAGACATGCCACACTTGAACTCTGACTTTCCCATGTTGCCCAGGACAGGTGTCTCTGAAGACCCAGTGTTCTTTTTCTTCTGGGGTCTGGAGTCAGAAATTCTTTCAACATAAACACACCCCTTTAGTCACACACAAGTAGTTAGCAATATTTTCTCAACTGCTAGAGACTGCACAGGAACACCAAAGTGACATCAAGCCACTGCCTTTCTGGGCATGAGAAGTAGGGTCCTAGAGAAGGGAGTCCTTCAGAAAAGAGCTGAAACTAAATGGGGCTGAGGAAGACTTTGCTGGAGAGACCAAGAAGATAGAATTACCTACCTGTAGACCTTCCTAGTCACACACTAGTGGGCTCCTTTTCCTCTCCTGCCAGTCCCAGAGGCCAGAGCATGTTTCATAATCCAAGGAGTGGTTTGTGTGAACGGCCTGGAGTCTGGGTCACATTCCTTCCACCTGGAGCCAGATGATGAGCCCTTGTGCTGGTCAGTCAGGGCCTTCACTCTGCCTTCTCCTCTTGTTAGACAGTCCCTTGTGCCCCTGGGAGGAGGAGTTGGAGGAGGAGACCCATACATTGGTAACCTGTGGGCATGCTGTGTGCTCCCTGACCTGCGGGTGGCCTCTGATGTGTGAACACAGTGGTGCTGCCTCACATTTCTGGGGAGCCCGACAGCCCTGCTGGAAAGCTGCACCGTTTGACCCTGTTTGGCTTCTGCCCTGCCTAAAGCTTCTTGCTGGTCTAAAGGCACAGGTGTTCTGGGCGCTTTGTTCACCGCCTCCTCTGGGCCTTGCCCTTCCTGCGCGTGTCCCGAAGCTGCCCCGTCCTGCGGTCTTCCTGTGGGAGCTCGAGGCTCCTTTCACGTGTCCCTGCTTCTTTAAGGCTTAGGCACTGCTTGCTCCATCTTTCCCATGACCCAGCAAGTGGGGTTTGAGGTATAAATCAGATGCTTACAGTTCACCCTTTTTAAAGTAGATACTTCAGTGGTCTTTAGTATATTTACAAGTTTGTGCAAATATCACTACTATCTAATTCCAGAATATTGTCGCCACCCCAGAAAGAAACCCCATCCCCATGAGCATTCATTTCCCCAGCCCCTGGCGGTCATGAATCTCTTTCTCCCTGGATGTGCCCATTCTAGACATTTCATAGAAATGGAATCGTAGCACATGTGGCCTTTGTGTCTGGCTTCTTTCAGCCCAGGCAGGCGGCTCTGTGTACGTGTGGTCTCTCTGTGCTGTTTGTAGGGCACAGTCCCAAGAAATTGCCTTTGTGTTGAAGATACTGGGGCCATAAATCTGCATTCTATAAATTAATGTGAGAATCTTAGGGGTGGCTCCCAGAAGTTAGACCAGAAACTCCTGGATTGATTGGTTCTTCTCTTCCTGTTTAAGATGACAACTGCAGCTTCACAATCCCTTAGCCCACCGGGCTGAGATTTCTTTGTAGGGGCCCGTCCTGACCCACCCCACCCCCACAGCCACGTACATACCTTGTAGGGCCCTTGGCATGCATATCACACTGCTACCCTTGAAGAGGTGGGAAAGGGCTAGGCATGCGAGCGTGGGGAGAGGGCAGGAGGGCTGGTGGAACAGCCAGGAGAGGAACATGCATGTGATGTCACTGCATGGCTGCTTTGCCCCTCGTTGCAGGAGTCGCCCCAGGCAGCCTGCGGAAGGCCTTCCTCTGCTTGGGACAGCCCTCCCCAGGGCTGGCTCAAAATGGTTTGGGCCTGGGAGATTCCTGGAGACTGCCAAGAAAACAAAAATACTACTTTTCACGAAGCCTGGGTCTATTTAATTTCAACAACCCGGTGATGAGAAAATGCATTTTGAGTACTTGATTTCTCAAGTTTTACATGACAAACTTGAATCCCATTGTGTCTGTCTCGCTATATTCAAACCTGTGCAGTTTCCACACAGGAAAGCAAGCACATGGCTTGCACCCTGCCCTTAGATTCTCTGCACCTAGAAAGTCTGTTCCACGTGTTCTTGGATCTCTGCCCCCCACCCCTTCTTTAAAATACGGGCCTCTCTGGACCAGATGGTGCAGCCCCCCTTGCATGGCTTTGGGCTGAACGTCTGCTACAGAGTCGGAAAGGGATTAGAAATCGGGCCTTCTGTGGACAAGCTCTCTCATGTCCTCTCTGCAGCCAACAGGAAGGCCGGCTGTGCAGTCACATCCCTGCTAGCCTCGGAGCTGACCAAGGACGACGCCATGACTGCTCTTCCTTCTAAGGTGGCCAAGAACAGTGAGGGAATCCCCACAATCCTGGAGGAAACCAAGGAGTTGGTTGGCCGTGCAAACTAAGCTGGGTCCTGTGGCCACAGCAGCTCCCCGGGGCACCCCGGACTGTCTTGCCCTGCAGCCTGTGCCTAAAGGGTCACGGAAATAGTCCTCTGGGGTGGTTGCTCCCACTCCCCTGACCCTTCTACTCTGGCCTGCCGCTCTCTTGTGCGTCACACATGCTTCAGCTGCCTGGAGGCCCCCAGGAATGGGCAGTGGGGTGGCGGGGGAGGCCTGAGCCCGAGCCAGCCAGCCCTGGCCGTGTGTATTACCAAAGCAGGCTCTGTGGTTGCTGCCTTAACCCCAAGTGTCTCCTCTCTGTCACCGAGGCCTTGTCTCAGACCAGGCCCCACCTGCTGTCCCAGCTCCCGCCTTTCCAGTGGGCTTGCGTTTCACCTGGGTCAATCTTGCTGGGTTTGTGCTTTTCTTTTGTGGTTTCTCCAGCTCTGAGAACAGCATGGGGCTTGTGCACCTTCGGGCTCTATCCCTCCTTTCATTGCTGTCACCTCTGCTCTGCTCTTCCCTCTCCTGGTTGTTATTTATTACTAGTGGTGTGGCAGTGGGAGCCATGCCTAGAGAAGTGGGGAGCAAACCCCACCCTTATCGCATCTTCCTGGGAAGGGCCTCCCAGAACAAAAAGCCAAGAGCCTGTGGGGAGGCAGGGTACAGAGACATTGTGGGACCTGTCCCCAGCCTGCTGCCATGTTTGAGCACCCTGCCTCTGTGAACTCCACCCCTGCCCCAGGCTACCCAGCCACGGTCACTCCTCACACCTTCCCCAGAGCTTTGGTGCATCTCATCAGGAGTATGGGCTGTACTGTGACCATCCCAACACCTCACCCTCTGTCTCCAAGGAAATGGGAGGTGGAGCCTCCTGGCTGAAAATTGTTTTGCAAATGGATCTATTTTTATATGAGATTTTTTTTTTTTTTTTTAGAGGAAATATTCCTTCCCCCTTTCCCCTCCATAATGTAAGAGGCTCTGATGGCAGGTCCCAGCGATCCTGGGATTTCTCCCCACAGGCCTCAATCCTGAGCAAGACCCTGGACCTCCACGTCAGCCCTAAAGCCTTCTGGGCCCTTGAGGCCAGTGCAGATTCTCTCTCCCATTATCCAGTTTTGGGGCAAGAGGAAGCTCTTCTCCGGTAGAGCTGGACCAGGCCTGAGAATAGTGGGAGCTCTGAGACCACAGAGTTTTTATAAATTTAATATATTTATCAAGCCAAATGTGCAAATGCTAACTGGACACTGGGCAAGGAAGCGCACGAGTGCGGCCACACAGCATGCCCCGCTCCCTTCTGAACGGTGGGCAGGCCAGAACTGTTTAGTAGGCCCTGCTCCAGGAAGCTCAGATTCTTTGCCCTCCTTGTGCTTTTAGCTTCCCACCACAGGTAGGGAGAGAGAATGACACGGCTAGGGCTTGACCCAGGATGAGAGTTGTTGGAGCACAGGGGGAACTTAGGCGACCTAAGGGTTCCTGCAGGGAGGGCTTCAGGCCAGGAACTGGGGTGCTGGTTGCTACAGCTGCCTGCGTGTGAAGGGGCAACAGCAGCTCCTTTGAGCTCTTCCCTGGAAGGCGGGGGTAGCGGGGGCTGCCTCCCTGGGTCCCTTCCTCCTCCTCGCTGACATCTGGGGCTTTGACCCTTTCTTTTTTAATCTACTTTTGCTAGGATGCATTTAATAAAAAATTAAAAAAAAAAAAGACAAAATGCAAACCTTTTTCCCTTGCCTCTTGGGCTTCTGGGATGTCATCGCCTCCAGTGTATTGGGTTTGTTTCCAACTGTTAATAAAGCATTGAAACAGTACTACCTTACCGCCTCCTTTGTGAGTTTAAGCTGTTTTCCAAAGCCCTGGTTGACCTAACAAATCAGTGTCAAAAAGTTGAAGGTGCCTATCATGTGCCAAACACCCTGCTTCGGCTTCTGCCCCTTGCATTTGTGGGCCCTAAAGAAATGGGGCCACAGTTCTGCCCCACCCCTGCCTCCACGTTGCTGCCTGGGGGCTTGGGGGCCCCCCCACCCCCTCATGCCCCCGCTATGTGCCTCTTTTACTGAGGGAACCATTCACCCATCGCTCCCCTCTTCTATCTCCGCCCCCCCCCCCGCCTCCGCCCCTTTTTGGTGGCCACAGACCACACTTGAGACTAGAGAAACTTACACTGGGGTTGGAAAGAAACCTGAGCCTGCCAGCAGAGGTCAGAAGCCAGAGGTCATGCTCCAGGCAACTTGCTGCTCAGAGCCACGCTTGCACACGTTGGGACCTGCACAAAGGAACCTTACAAGCTATGAGCAGACTCCGAATAGGGAGCAAAGGCCCGAAGAGGACCACAAAACCATTCGGACAGGCTCTAGACCTGGAAATAAAAGCCTTTTAAATAGCCCTGGAGCCTGGGCAGCTGGCTCCCCATCTCGGCGGGGGGATGTGGGGTGGGCGGGGGGATGTGGGGTGGGCTGCCTGCCTCCTTCTCCCCCACCGGAGGCCACGCGTTTCTGGCTCAGAGCTTTACAGGCGCACATACCAATTAGGGGACCAACCACAGCTGCTCACGCGCTCTGCCAGTCTACTGCCGGCCCGGAATAGAACCCAGGCAGCCGGCACCCCGCCCTCTGCAGCCTGGCTCGCAGAAACAAAACCCTGCTTGCATCGCGAACCGCACACACCACCCTTCCTCCCACTCAAGAGAGTCGCCTCCAGATGCCTAGCTGGAAGGCTTGGTTTCCATGACGACAGGCCTGGTGGGGGGGGAGGGGGTGGAGCTGGCAGAACATGTGACGCAGCTCTGAGACGATGCGCAGAGGAGGCCCAGAGACAGCCTCCTTCCACGGTGCGGTTAGGCATCCCCTCACTGACCACGCCCCCACCCCGATAACCCCAGTGGGTCTGTGTTTATGTCCTTCCGCTCCGCCTTCTCCCCTCTGTACTTCCTGCAGCTCCTCCGGCTGCAGCAACCTCGAATCCCACTGTGCTTCAAGGAAGCAGGCAGAGGAGGAGGGGAGGGGAGGACGACTAACTGAAGAGCGAATGGAAAAGGAGGGGGAGAGGGGGAAAGGAAGGAGGGAGGACGATCTGGGTCTGCGGGCAATCTCATTTCCTGCACACTTTTCAGTCCCCTCGACACCACGGCCCCCGTCCCCAGCGACAGGGATGAAACCTTCCAATTTCCTTGGCTTTGCTGCAGGGAGTGGGAAGGTGAATTCCAGATGGATAAACTGAGGCCCAGGCTATTATTGACTGGGCCTTTGGAGAACCGCCTCCGGCATGCCCTCCCACTCCCACAGTGTTCCCACACTCACTAGGCAGCGGGGCTGGCGGGGAATGGGCAGAGGAGAATCCACCCTCCTCCGGAGAAGCCCACAAGGACGCTCGGGCTGTTCATTTTAGCAGGGAAGAGGCGGGAACTGAGGAAATGTCCCCCACCCGGTTTCCAGCCTTTCCAGCCGCTGCCAACGCACTCCCGCCCCCGCCCCGGAGCGTCCTCTTCCGCCGGGAGACTGGCGCCGGGAACCGGGAGCCGTACGGGAGACGGCGCTAGCGCACAAACGCCACACACCGACCTTGCGCTCCGGAACGCCCGCCTCCACAACAGACCCAGAAGCCGATTACACACAACGGGAGACCGATCACCGTCACTTGGACTGTTACGTTTGCACAACAGTACTGCAAGCATCCACAGCCACACCTGACAGACACAGACTCACGGGCAACGACACAAAACCAGGACGCGCACACAATCATCGCCTGGCGATCGCGCCCTTCCTCCAGCACACTCCGCTTAGCTCGCCGCTTCATCCACACATGCCAGGAGCCTCCATCCCTTACACAGAACCGTTCGACCTTTCAGAAGAAACCTTTTAATTTTTTTTTTCAAAGAAAAAAAGCCATATAAATATTAGAGTATAAAACTTGCGTGAGACACAGGAAGGGGAGTGGGTGGGAAAGCTACGTGACTATGCGAAGAGAAGCACTTCTAGGAGTCAGTACCGGGGAGGGGGTTGCCGCAGCGCGAGGACACAGCACAAAACACAGCACGGGCCGCCGCAGGCGGATTCAAGGACAGACGGCTGCGCGCAGCCCTCCGCCCACCCGCCCCCACGGAAAAGCACACCGCACTACACTATTGGCTATTCTACACCAGCCGAAAGAGGGAGGGGGCTCTACACTACCGTTAGGGCTGGGGTGGGGCTCTGGCGGGACTGGGGTGGGCCGAAAAAGGTCTATGCGCAAGGAGGCACTGGGGGACTTTAACCAGGCTCTGGCCACTAGGGGGCAGACTTGGGGGGGGGCCTGGGCAGTGGCCTTCACAGGGAAGAAATGGCACCTGGCAAAATGAAGGAACAGAGGCTTGGGGAGTGCGGGGGCCCTGTGCAGGAGCCCTGATCCGGGGCTGAGACTTCCTGTCCACTTGGTCCCAGCTCTAGCTCCATGCCTCCCCAACCCAAGGACCAAGAATGGCCCAGCTGACCCTCCCTCGCTGCTAGGGCCACACTGCTTCTTCTACCAGTGGCACCTCTGGAGTACCCAGCACCCACAGAGGGCCCTCTGACCTCTCCAGGGGACCTGGTCCTAAACATCCTCAAACCTTCCTTTAACTGTAATGCCAGCTGAAATCCACTGGTGCTAAAAACTCAGCCCAAAGTCTATTGCCTTTATGTGGTAAAACGAGGGTCCAGCCTGGTACTTGGTTTATAGCTGGAACTGGGGATCTGGCCAGTACCCTGGGGACATACAGAGCCTTCTACAAGACCCTGATAAACGGTAAGGCAAGCTTTGTCCATCCCCCACATCCACACCCACACCCTTCCCTTCTTTATCTTGCCACCCCATACTGCCTTAGAACATGCAACAAGGAGTCTCTCTTTTGGGGCAGGGGAAGTCACAGCATGCAGTGGGAACATCAAACAATGAAAAACAGAATAAAAGACTGGTCCCGAGGGCTTTGGGAAGAGGCATGGTAGCAAAGTGCCCTCCCTAAATCCAGCAAGCATCAGTACCATGGGAATCGTGACCATGTCTCCCAAAACTTGAACTTGGTCTTGGGCTCTGGAAGGAGATGAAAGGACTGGCACCAAACCATGCTTTGGGGGAAGTCTGAGAATTGGAGAGGCCTACAAGTTATTATGTCCTTCCAACTCTTCAGAACTATGAGCCTTTTTAGGTCACCAGGTACCTCAACACCCCAACCACCTTGAGAAAGAGGGGCTGCTGAGGGGGGTGGGGTGGGTTGGGCAGGAGGGAGGCAGGGGATGGTAGATGGGCCTGATTAAATTTGGAAGATGGCAGAGTTCAGCTGTAACTAAAGGGGGTGTGATAAATGTTGTCTACACGAACCCCACTACCCCCATGGGCACAGCAATTGATTGGACGGGGGTTCCCAGCAGA